CTAAGAAATAACAAACAGCACAGTGTGGAAAGTTTCACATTACCACAAAATGCACCAATTGCATATTTCAGACAAAATGACAAAAATAGATTATTTTGGAAGAGTTGATACCTAATTTGTTAAGAAGTTCAATTTAATTTCAAAAGAAAATCACCCAATTTCCTGATTCAGATTTCTCACCCACTCAGTGGGAGCATTTTATTTGACCATCATAACCATTCTTCTTGGGGAATAGTGGCTATGAAACAGGACACTCCAATATGCATAAAGACTTTATTTACACAAAAAATTATGGCTCACGAGGTGAAGTGAGTGGAACATATACAAATCTGTGCAGAAATTTCTCCTATGTATCATATTATTTTTGTAGGGAAAAAAGCAGTACTTGTAGAATAAATACTAAAGAATCATATCTATTGCTACAAAAAGGGTTGACTATATAAAGTCTCCCATTATTACTGCTAGGAAATATCTTATGCATACCCACAAGTGATTTCAGAGAAATTCACATTAAAATATACCTTTCATTTTATTTTATGTGTGATTGAAAAATATGAGTCATGCAGATTACATTCTGCATAAAAGAATGGTTCATTATTTTTTTTTCAAGCAGAACTCAAAGGTTGATGTATTGAATCTCATCCTAAAAATTACAAAGAAAAAAAAAGTAAAAAAGGAGCCAGTGAACTGAGCAGGGTAAACTTAGAAAGTCATTTAATCTCTCTTTTAGTTCTGCCTCCAAATACTGCAGCTTCACAGATGAAATGTAGACAGAAAAAGATTCTTTGGAAAAATAAAGCAACATATAAATGCAAGGTTGTATTTCTTTTGTTGTTGCTCAGTGAAAGTGAACCATTAGAAACCTGAAGCCAAACGCAGGCATACACCCAGATGAATCACACAGCTCTTTGAAACCCTCACTCTGGATAATACATCTTTTGTTTTTCACTGGCATCGTGTACAGTAGGGCACTTTAAAAAGGATACAATGAGCTCAGTAACATAGGACTTTTTAATGCTGTAAAAATAAGCTTCAGACTTTATGCCTATTTAAGGACTAGATTGATAACTTCTACAGACTTTTTTTTTTTTTCAAATTCAGCTCCTTGTAACCTACTCTTCATTCGGCAACTCACACTCAAAGTGCAAGAAAACTGCTCGTCTCCCCCAGACTCATCTTAGCCTGCAGACCCTTGTGCCAATAATGTGTAAGCTAGCTTTGGACAGGAATTTTTCTTTGTAGGGTTCATTTCATATACCAAGTGGGTGCATTAGCCAACAAGTGTCAGCTAAATGAAAGGCCAACATCACTTTTCTAAATTATTCATTCATTCGTTCATTTATTTTATATTTTGACTTTATTAGTACACATTTGCAGTACATAATGAGTAGACTCACTGTAGGGAACTGTTACATGTACGTAACACATTTCAAGTCTTTCATTTAAAAACCATTGATCAAATGTTTACATGTTGTTTTGTAACTCCGGGAAAGGGGGAGGAAGAGGGAGACACAGAGACCTAGTCTCAGTTGAGGAATATAATCAAATATTAGTGGGGATATTTGTTGGGTCTTTTGCATAGCTGCATGTGTCGGTAGCAAAGCACTGAACACTTTTCTTCAGGATGGTCTTCTGAAGGCTGTTGTTCTGGAAAATAGACTTGGAAGACAGAGGTAGTGTCTTTCTCTGGAGAGAAAGCAGGTGTGCTGACTCCCCAGGATGCAGTGTGCAGTCCCCCACATTCAATCCTGCAGTGCACCCAGGCCTGTGCCACCGTGCTCTGGCTTTCCCTCAGCTCTTCGATCTCCAGGATTCATCTTTCAGATTTAATACACATTTGTTGACTATTTGCCACATGGGAGCCCTTTCTTGATCTCTAGCCTCTTTTTAGGCTTTACTGTCTCATAATGCCCTTGCTTTTTTTTTTTTTTAAATTAGTTTATTGGTACATTTAAAGCAAACAATGCAGTTATACTTGTCATTGGGATCTTGTACCTTTACATGATGTATCTTGGTTCTTATTTTTTCCGCATTCTCCTGCTCTCTTTTCACCCACTTCACCCTTTCCTATTTACAAAGACTTTGTTTCCATTGTTTCATTTTTCCCCTTATTTCCTTTCCCCTCCCCTTCCCACTTCCACTTTACCCATTCCTCTTTATCCAGTCTTCAGTTGATGGGCATTTGGGTTGTTTCCAAGTTTTAGCTATTATGAACTGTGCCACTGTTAACATGGCTGCACATATATCACTGTGGCATGATTCTTTTAATTCTTTTGGAAAGATACCCAGCAGAGGGATGGCTGGCTCAAATGGAACCACTAACAGAGCTGAGAGACAACCTACAATGTGGGAAAAAATTTTACCAGCTGCTCCTCAGACAAAGGGTATATATATCTATATATCTATATATCTATATATCTATATATCTATATATCTATATATCTACATATCTATCTATCTATCTATCTATATCTATCTATCTATATATATATATATATATAGAGAGAGAGAGAGAGAGAGAGAGAGAGAATATATAAAGAACTCAAAAAAATCAGACTCCCCCAAATGCAAAGACCCAATTCAAAAATGAGCATCTGGAATGAACAGACATTTCTCGTAATGCTTTTTCTAAGGAGCTTCATACACGAGTAATGGTCAGTCGAAAACTCCACTTAAATGGTGCACAGGCACATAGAACTCAGAGATTCAAAATTGAGCTACCACAAAACACCTGAACTCAAATATTTTCTTTTTTTCCCATTAAATTTATTCATACATTTAAGGTAAACAACACAATTACATTCATTATTGGGGTCTTGCACCTTTACATGATGTATCTTGGTTCCTATTTTCCCCCATTCCCCTGCCCTCCCTTCACCCCCTCCACCCTTTCCATCTCATACTGTTCTTTACCTTCTCTCTTACTAATTGGTACTTATGAGTAATCAGTGGGTCCATTTACTATTGGTTATATTTTGACGTGTACTAACAACCAACATATTGTATGCCACATGGGCTCTGATCAGTAAATATTTGTGGATTATGTCAGGGGTTTTCTTCTGTCCCCAGCATAATTCAAGATGTCTAGAAAGACCAAGTAGTAGCAACAGATTCAAGAAGACTCTAAAATCATATCAAATAAGCATATCTTTTGCTTTGAGTGAAATAGCCACAATTGTTGAATTTCTTCTGACTTCTCTTGAACAGTGCTAGGTCCATTGCATAGCTGCAAAAGAAGACACTTAGCTCTTTAATTTTCCTCAGCATCTTGTTATCATCTTAAAAACCACCATATTCCTTCTTTGGGCAAACACTGCCATCCACTAAAGAATTATTGTTTGTCCATGTATGTGTCAAGTTAATTGCCTTTTTTTTTTTCTTTTGTACTGGAGATAGAACTTAGGACCTTGCACTTACAGAGCAGGTGTGATGCCATTGAGTTAGCTCCCTGGCACCTCAAGTTAAATGCTTTTGAAAATACAGTCTTGGGAAACAAGTCACTGAGAATGAGATTGCGTGGCTCAAGACTGTCTGGTTTTGTCTTGTTTCTTTTTGATTTCTGTGTTTTGGGAATGGAGATGATAAGAAGGAAGAGTGAAGTTCTCTCACTAACTTCACCTTCCTATGCTATATCTTTTCTTTAATACTCGGTAGTTTGGCATGATTTCAGGATTGCCATCCAGAACAGCCGAATACTGAGAGATCTGTGCTCCCTTCACAACCCTCCAGTTAAGTTAATTTCATGTACCACAGCATGAGCAGAAGGTGCAGAAATGAGAATAATTTTCTTGGATAATTTTTTTAATGCGCTGCTCAATCATGGGAACTGTGGAGGATAATTTGTTAATACTTTATCAGGGACCATTTGGATTCTTTCACTGAATTAGCACAGAAGCTAATAAAGCTAGTGACAACTGTGGACACTAAAAGGGCCGGCAAGCATTCTTCTGTGTCATGGACACAAATGGGGTTGTTCGTTTAAAGTAGTCACCTTGCCAGCATAAGCCAATGACTGGTTTCAAGCGAAGAGTGAGACAGGATGATTGATCAGCTTGAATTCATCATTTCTGATGAAAGGGAGAACAAAACATTGTAGTGCACAGGTTCTGTGAACCTGAATTGAACCTATCAACTATCCATTTGAAGAACTTCTTGCTTTACCAGCACTGCACTCAAAGAGACAGAGAAATTCCGGTCTGAAAAGATGTATCTTACTGCTGACTTAAAGTGTGATAGAAATTTGAATAGCCAGCACTACTGTCCTTATTTAGCAACCTTTTTATTAGATATACTTAGAAAGCAAATGCATCCTAAACTAGGTCTAACATACCTAGTCTAGGGACAAAAGTATCTAGAATCCAGACTATTTATTACTGTAGATTTGGCCAAAAGCTAAAACAAGATGTTTCCTACATTGGGCTGGAGCAATTCTGCTAGGGACCATTGAGGTTCACTTCCTCCTAAGTGTGTATCATCAGTAAGAAGACATTAGGCGGTAGTTGTGATGTGTGACCCAGAATAGGAGAAAGCAGTGCGTTTTCTTCTTTAACTTCAGCTTTCTGTGCATCAGCCAAAATACCCACTGCACATGTGAGAGCCTCACATGTGAGTTGCCAAGTGACTCTGGAAAGCAGGTCTAATTTAAAAAAATAAACTAACGATACAGTTTTATCAATACAGCACAGACTTACTCAACAGATTAGATGCTGGGTAAATTAACCACTTCACAATTACATTTTTAGAAATGGTTCTTTGGAATGTAAATGACGACTGGATTGAGTATCAATGAGCTAAAAGAAGAAATGACTTCATGTCACACTACAGATAACATAAGCAGGGCATTTGCTTTATATCATTGTGTTGGTTATAAGAAATAAAAGGTTTTACATTTCTAGGTTGAGAATTTACTTAATAAAGTATAGTTGTTTGATTTTTCCAGTCCTCCCATCTGGCAATTTAAAAGTTGCCTGTTTTCTTGTCCTTATTGTTCTGCTTTCCAGGAATCAGACCATTTACCTGGACTCCCTGAGTATGTTAAAATAGTAGAAGTTGGACCTAGAGATGGACTGCAGAATGAAACGGTAGGTTTATTTTAATTTTACAGAGTGTATTTCAAATGCTGTCTAAATATGAACATTTTTTAAGATTTTAAATACCTGCAGATTTTACAATATTATGTCTGCTTTTTTTCGTTTTAATGGCAAAATTATTCCTTTTTTTTATTTGCTTTCAGTTAGAAATTAATTTTTCATTTTTGCTTCAGTAGACCCTGTATGATTTACTTGCAGATATTTTTATGTTATTATAGGTTATAGTTCCTACAGATATAAAAATCGAATTCATCAATCAACTGTCCCAAACTGGCTTGTCTGTGATAGAAGTGACCAGCTTTGTATCCTCTAAATGGGTACCACAGGTATTTACATCCATAATACCTTAATTAGAATCAGTGCACACTGAGATATATATTATGATATTAATGTGATACAATTAGAAACTGTTAGGCCTTGCACTGATACAATTAAAGGAAAATCTCATTTGATTAAATGTATTATAGAAATTGAGTCCTAAAAAGTAACCTGAAACTATGTGCTAATCTTATGTGAACATGTGGTCCAACATATTAAATTGAAGATAAGACTGTTAAAAACAATTTCAGAGCCTGCTTTCCATTTACTCTTTTATTGCAGATTTATAAATAATCTGGACATTTCCTAGTGCTTTAATGTTTTATCTGTTAAAGGGAAGGCATGATTAAGGACTGGCACCTTTCCCCAAGGAATCTCATATGAAACAGTGAAAATGTAAATGTGCAGCTTTACTTTGTTTCTTTTAGCACTTATTTTTGCTGATAGTGAGGTAAGGACACTCACAATCTGCTCTTGAAAAGTGGTAAAATGATGGAGCTTTATGCCAAGTCTCCAGGCATTTGGCAACAGTGATGGATTCTGAGGCTTGATTTTAGTTTTGGAAGAATGATTAGCAATTAGCAACTAGTACAACCTTTCCCTTTCTAAGCCAGTCTCCCCTTTCAGGGTTTGGATACCCCAGCCTCTCCCCAACACTTAATTTTGCTGATTACTTTGCTTCCATTCCCTCGGATTCCTTTATTCTCTTCCTTCCTGGTTTGGTTGCTTTCTGTCATCCATGACATCTTTTCATAACCAAGGGTAACATTCCCTCATAGAGCAGCTCTCCTTCTCCACGGTTAACGGTTGTGTCTGGACGTCCCCCCGAAAGCATCATGCAGTCATAAGTGGGGCTCATTCAGAGGTGGCTGGATCTAGAGTGTGTGACTGATTCATGGTGTAATGCTAGGATTAATAGTGCTAGGATTAAAGGAGGGTAACCACTAAATCCATCCACTGATTGGTTTGGCACCCTAATCCTGGTAGCCTCAATCTGATAGAAGGGACAGAAACAGGCTTGTCTTGTGTCTTGCTTGCTTTGTTACTTTCTGCCTGCCATAAACTGTTTCTCCTCTGTGATGTCTGTGTGCCTTGCCATCCTGCCTTGGAGCCATCCAGCTTTGTACTGAAACCTCTGCAAACTGTGAGCTAAATAAACCTTTCCCCCATTAACTTTGTATGTCACGTATTTTGTCTCAGCATGAGAGAAAAGTAACTAAAATGTCTACCAAACCTATCTTGGATGACTGTCCTTTGAGTATCATCAGTCACTTCTGTGAGGGGGCTCAAATCTATGTTTCTGAAGACATGGTTTGCTTGCATTTTAAATTATTTCTTCAAATAAAAAGCTAATTAGGGGCCACTATATCACTCTAATGTAAAACTAAATCTGCATTACTAGTCCTGCCTTTTATGTTTAGCTTCAGCTGGATGTGTCATTGGTGTTACACTTGTTGGGTTCAAAGTCAATCTCAGGTTTGTCCATCTTGTTTTATGCTATTCTCTTTGCAGTCTTGGACTTGAATTTGAAGAGGTCTGTCCCCTCTGTCCACTTACCACTGCTGTCAATTAGAGCTGCTATAGCAGTGGCTTCATTTATTACAGTTCTGGGAGGCCAAGTACAAGATCAAGGTACCCACAGAGCTGGTGTCTGGTGAACACCTCCTTCCTGACTTCTGTAGAGCTTTCTTCTCATTGAATTCTCATGTGATGGGCAGCAGAGAGTGGAAGCCAATGGCTATCTCTTATATTTTTATTTCATGAAAACAAAATAAAATTTTATAACAAAATAATAAAAGAATAGCAGTAGTTAATACGCTATCTATCCTTATCTTCAAATACAAGACATTACTGTTTCAAAAGTAGTTTAATACATATGCTAAGTTATTTCATTTATATTACTCATTTCTCTCAGTTCTTTGAAAAGAAATTTTTCTGCTAATATGTTTGTTTCTTCTTTGTGAGTCTCTTTTGTTCTGTCTCTTAGTATAAGTCCATTAATCCCAGCAAGAATGCTCCAATTTCATAATTTTATGAGCTCCCAAAAGCCTCATCACATTTTCCTTAGGATTTCAACATATCAATTTGGGAAGGAGAGATTCAAACATGTAGTTTATAAAAATTACTGGCTCACAAAATGTCTTATTCCCCAGCGTAGCCTATACTTGTCTTTTCTTTTCAGTCCCATAGATCTATTAATAACCCAGCCACTCACTGGACGATCACTGTAGTACTCCCTTAGGTGATATTCCTAAGCGTTACTTCCTTCTTCCCTGTACGATATGCTCATTGCTTCTAATAGCGTTCCAGAAATAGTCACCTTCATACACTCACAAAGTGAGGGCTTGGAGCTTCCCTTTCCCCCTTGGCAAAAGCCCATGGTCTGTGTTGACTCCCAAAGCCCGGCCTTGCTTTCTTTTCCCACTGTAACTGTTGTGCTCCTTCCCTCTGCTGAAGCTCTTGCTAAACCAAATTGCTTTTCTTCCTGCCTTTTGATCTATACAGTTCCAAATACACTTGTTCAAGTCCATCTCAGTTTCTGCATTTTTCTAATGGCTCCTAGTTAAATGGATGATGTAAAGACTGGAACCATTACAATCTTTTCATTTGCAATTCGTTTGTGGTAGTAGAAATTGCAATACAATTGTTAGTAATGAAAACAGTGATTTCTCATCCCATATATATCTACTTGTAAGTACTATCTAGTCATCGGATTCCTAGACTATTAGTGCAATAAAGAAGGTGACTGAATTCCTCTTTCATTGTAACCCCAGTTTGGGGGACATAGTAATTAGGTGCACAGTAAGGCATTAGGAATATTGAATTGGTCAGCCTGAAAGACAATAACGTGTCACTTTCAAGTCTCGGATATGGGCAAGAGGCTATTAGTTTTGGTCATATCCCTGTAAAATTAAGGAAATAAATGCTTCCGTAGGAAAACACAAGTAGTTTGATACCCTAGATGTATTTTGTTGACATTGTCATTTTCTAAAATGCAATTACTACTTCACTAGCTGTCACTAATTTGAAAATGTGAGAATTTTCATTCATCTTTAATGCTTTGTGAAGTCATTTCTTTATTTGATGTAGGCTGTTCATTTCACATACTAATCATTGCTGGAAAGATACAGGATAGGCAAGTATAACTTTAGAATTGTGCTTAGAAAAAGAGCACACATCTTGCTAATATTAATTGATGAACACTGACCCCCCAAATTATATTTCACACAATGAATTTCATTAGTCTTCTTCAAGAGTGTGTTATTTTTCATTGGTTTCATAAAGCTGAATACAAAGCATCCTTCTTTCCTTCATCGCCTTGCCTTCCTATCATCACATTCCATTATTATACAAGAGTGTACTTTGCTGGATTGCTCTTCAGCTCCATCTTTGATGCACACAGTAGTGTTGAAAAAGTCTAGGCTGGAATCCTCTCAAAAAGCCCACATTTTCTTGCACAGCTAAGGAAGAGGACAGATGGACAAGAGCAAAAGAAAAGCAGTCCCCCTGCGAGCAGTACTGGAACATACTTGCTAGCTTCACTTAAATAGATACATGCAACAGGATTATAAAGTAGTGAAATTTATTCTGAGATGGGTCCTGAGTGGAGTTTGGGATTAAACCGACTGATGTTTAATGAACTATTTTTGGGCTCAAGATACTATTACATACGTGATCAAATTCCCACACAGAGCTCTTGAGGACAGCTATGGTGAGATAGATGTCTGCTAGAACTGTGTCCTTGTCTGCATTGCTCTGGCACGCCAGTCACTGACTTAACCTCAGAAACCCCAGCAGTGGTACCTGCAGCACAGGTGCATCTGTGTGAGGCCATAGGTGCATGAATGGTCCCTGTGTGTGAGATGAACACCTGGATCCTGAATGTCGCTCAACGATGTTTTTCATAATGACTGTAATGATACATATTTCATGATCTGGTTCCATCCATTCCAAACAAAAAAGCACTTCAAATAAATTGCGTATATTTAGGGGCCAGGGATTTAGCTCAGTGGCACAGGGCCTGCCTCTCAAGTGCCAGGTCCTGAGTTCGATCCCCAGTACTAAAAAAAAAAAAAAAAAAAAAAAAAAAAAAAAAAAAAAAAAAAAAAAAAAAAAAAA